GACATCAAAGAATGATATTGAAACATTTTTTTTAACCTATTTGACCTTTTAACCTCTTTCAGGTGTTTGGGAGTATATCCAGGAGGTGCGAGACCTGGTGTGTGATCTGGAAAGTCGGCTCCAGAGGGCCAAAGACAACGTAGAGGAGATTCTGAGCTGCATGAGGTCCTGGTCCACCCCCATATTTGACAGGAAGGAGGGGAAAAAAGACGCTCTGCTCAGTTTGGAGGACAGGACTGAGAGGCTCGACAGATTTTACAGTCTGATTCGGTCTTCCGGGGAAAAAATCCACTTCCTAGTTAAGGTGCTTTGCTCATTGTTATGTGAAATGTCAGATGGGCTTTAAGTTTCACTCACATTTCATCATTTTAAGCAGTTATGATGGAGTCAGCGATTTAGGATTTGAACTTCATTTCTGCAGGACTTTTCAAATGCGGTAAAGATGGTGATTCGTTATGAGTGTCACACTCTGTTACGTCTCTTAGTGCAATCGGGCGCTGTTCAAAGCTGAGCCGTCCTCTGAGGAGTGGAAGGCCTATGTGGAGTACATCGATGACACGATCATAGATGGCTTCTTCAACAGCATTGAGTGCTCTCTCAGGTTTTTCCTCGATAACACTGGTATGATTTTCATGAACAAATAATACTCTAAATAAGGAAGAAAAGATAAAATAAGTACTTATTTACTGTTTGTTGTGTCTCAGTCATGTTGAGGGTGTTACTACTTGCTGTCTCAAAGCCAGATTGTTGCTGGCAATCCTGAAATTAATATGAAAAAAATGCAGCGCTTCTCAGTACTCTGATCCAACAGCACCCTTCAGCCAGCACTGAATTGGACAGCTTCTTAGCAACACGTCCTCTGGGCTTTTGATGTCAATTGGGTGTCCGCCTCTATTGGCTGTGGACATAAAATAATTCTGGACTTGTTAGCTGGCAGGAGTTTTGTCAGCCAGTTTAGATGGACTGGGATGTGGTTCAATACGTGATGGATTGCTGCCAGAATGCTACTGTGACCAAACCTTCTACTCCTTGTTCCGCTTCTTCGTCTTTTCCTTTCCCTCTCCTTGTTTGGCTTCAAAAACTCTTTTATGATTTGGAAAATTCTTAAATAAATGATGTGACCCAGGGGCAGCTACGATAACAGTAGGTCCAGCATCTGAAAGCTCTGGGATTAAGCTGTTCTTTCCTTAATGCAGTGTCTTGTTTCATGTAAGAACCACAAGTGTCCATTAAAATAAAAGGAAAAGCAGAGCGAGAGTTTTAAAGCAGCGCTAATCCCAATTTTTACATCATAAGCTGATCAAATGAAAAGCTTATAGTGACAAATTCTCATGGAGATATCAGTGATGAGGGGGCAGTTGAGTAGGCTCAGTCCTTTCAACTTGATTAGGTCCTTTTAAAATTAAGCACTGAATTAGAACGCCAATAAGAACCCAGTGTCAAATCTCATTCACTTAAATATGAACATCAACATGTATCAGGATGGAACGGTAGTTGTTGATTCTGTTTTCATTATATTGTAATTAATTACAAATAAATTGAACTTTAGAAAAAAGCTAAACTACAAAACTAAAATGATATTATTAGGGATGCACCGATACCGATACTGGTATCGGGTATCGGGGCCGATACTGTAAAATGTGTGTGTACTCATACTCGTAAAAGTTAACCGATACCATGAACCGATACCAACTTATTTCATTAATCAGAGGGTGGCTTGTCATTTC